ATATGTTAAAGTATATAGCCCCTTCTATCACACAGGTAAAATGCATTCTGGATGTCCAGGGATTGTCCCACCTTATGTGCTTCTGGAGAGGGCTCTAGGTTACAGGGACCCTTGCTAGGAGCTGGTACTTTTTGGTATTGAATGAAAAAAAATGGAAACGTTTGCTGTTCTGGTACAGGATGTTCTTTGGTTTGTCATTGCATAATACCTGATTTGAATTGCCTCCCTGTAACCTCCAAAGACGGAGTAGTGTAGGTGTTGGGTACTTCAGAATTGCAGTGAGGTCCTATGGGGAAGGTATAAGAGACATATCTACACCTGGAGGCAGACAGTTTTAGTTTCATAAGGAGAGAAACATTACACATTATACAGTGTCAGAGATATACAGACAGGGTGAGTGAAGTTTGTATATTTCATTATATCAGACTGGGAAAAAGTATAAGTTAAAATATAAGTTATATAATATCTTTAGTTGAAATTTTACATGCATTTCATACTTGCTATTACTTCAAGGTAGATCTTGATTAAATTTCACCATATAGTTTTTAAAGGATTTCTTTTTGAAAAGATTGTTGTTGGTGCACACAGTGGGTTATCAAAAAATTAACTACACCAACTAGCATATTTTGTCTATAAGGCAAACTATTTAAAGTTTTGGAGGCTGACAGCAGCTGTCCCTTATCTTAGCTTATAAACTAAGGCAGCCACAATGATTAGAGGGTCGTTATAGCCATTGTAGCCTGGCAGTTTTAGAAATAACCAAAAATGACTACACGCTTCTTGGGACATCAGTAAGCCAGCCTTTTTGGGGAAGATACAGTTAAACTCCACAAACTCTCTCTGGTACACTGAAGTGATTGTATTCCATTACATGCTAGACTGATAAAGAGCACCATGGAATTTGAGCAAAAAAAAAAAGATCTAAGATTGTAATTCTAAGAATCTGGGAATTTTTGAAAGGGTTTGTTGAACTTGTGGGATTATGTATTTATCCTTGTTTCCACTAGGCAAAAAATATACTTTCTTTCAGTTTTGATGCACCATTTAGAATATGGAGAAAGATTGAATAGAAACCATTTAGAGATTTATCGAATTGTTTTTCCTGATTTTAAAATATTAGAAACAATGTAAAAGGGAAGGCCCTGCAACTCTTAAAAAAATCTGACAAAATGTTCGTTGACATTGTACTTTGGTAGTTATATATTGTTGTGAATAAATATTTGTGTTTTTAAGTTTGTGATCTTTTTATTGTTACCTAACTGCTCCAGAGAGGAATACAGTATGTGACTATAACCAATTTCCTGACAAAAAGGTGCAATTGGTAAAATTCTAGAATATGCATGTAAAGGAAACTAGTGTCAGGACATGACATGATTTTCTCTATTTTATCATTTTAACCATAGAATTCAATTATTCACTCTCCTTGTATAAATATCCACAATTTTAATAGAAGTTTTCATCTCTCTCTTGACCTATTTAATATCCTTTAACAGCTCTGTTCACAGTTTGTTATACTCTTTTTGGATCTTGTTGTTTTTAAAGGGTGTCTATCATTCTTTATCTCGTTTAATTGGCTTATTTAAGTGTCTAGGCCATTGCCAGCCTGAGCTTTATTTACTTGTGGAACAATTTCATTTATGTTAGAATATGTTAGTTTGCTACAGATGCAGCCATTCAAAACAAGCGGGCGATACCGCATTATTTTGGGCTTTACGGAGTCTACCGCGAGTTAACGTAAATTCTCCTATAGTACCGCAATAAAATAATAGTATCCGGAATTTCCGCAAGGTGGAACTAATAAAGCTCAACCTCTCATGTTTGAGCTGTCGCCATCAAAGTCTTTAACGAAGATATTACTAATAGTATTAATAATGAATGACCTTGGACAAGCTGTAAACTCAAAGTATTGCCCTGGTCCACATTCTTTTTTTCATTGACTGTGTTTGTAAAAATAACACCACAGCATTTCGCAATCACACATTTGTTTCCAATCATGCAAAGCACAGTAATTTTTTAGAATCTCCAATTCACCATGCCTTTCACATGCTCATAAAAGAGATTGATTTAGGAACATAAACATATTACTGCATGCAAATTGTACTGTATACAGTATGTATATGTATATTTAATGTCTTTACTGTGCCTGTTTAAGTATTGAATATTTATATGGAATTTTACCACTGAAGGGAAATCTTAGTATCTGAGCATAAAAAGAATATAACCATACTGTAACGCGTGTGAAGGCCATAAACGATATTAATTTTGGAACATAAACATACAGTATATGGATGGTCTCGGTACTTTAAAGAAAATATACTCACCAGTATTCCATTTCTCCCTAAACATTTTAAGCATCGAAATCTTTAACTAACGTGATACCAGAATCTACAAGCATACTTTTAGAATTTGATTAAAAGGGAATATAATATGGAATCGCGTATCTAAAGAAATTAATACCGATATAATTTGATTTCTGTCAAAGCGCAATGAATTAGTGACAATAAATTAGTGTACGATCTATAGTTGAAATCTGAGCCTAAATAAAAAGAAAAAGCATTTTCAGAGAGCAATTACGCTGTGTTTATGTAGAATAAGTGATTAGGTTTATGAGCAATCTAATTACTTATTCGTTTAAAACGCTATATAAAATAAAGTTTATTATTAATTTGCTGCACAGAGTGGTGAACATTATTATGCATAAGACAAAGATAAAGATTTACGTTAAAAGACATTTAATTAAACACGGGTTTGTGATTTAAATGGAAATGGGGGTGACGGGAACTCTTAATCTAAATAAAAATAAAATAAATAAAACACGTTTCGATAGTTAATAACCACTTTTTACGCACGAAACACAGGTGATTTTTCTTCCTCCTGATCAGTTTAGAAATCTGTGTACAATGTAAGGTTTTTACTTCTTAATTAAACTTTTAAAATACACGTTTCGAATAGAAAGAAATCCTCTTCCTGGTACAGTATGTATAGCAGACCAGCACGTCGTTTTTCTCCAATCAGAGGGGTGTCAGATGGTGTCAGCCAATCACCATTCTGAAGCTGTACCGTAATCTCTGGTATAGGGGGAGCCCAAATTCTGTCCCATAGTTTAGATAGATGATAGATACTTTTATTGATCCCGTGAGGGAAATAAAGTAAATCATTTTCATTTTAGGAAATTATTAAACGCTTGGTTAAAAGCAAAGGAGATTGTCTGTTATAGTGGACATAAAAACAAGCTTTTGTACCTTGGT